AAGAGCATCGCGTGGAGACTCTCAGCCAGAGTTCTGGGGCCTAGGACACTCATAGGGCTATTGGTAAGTCACCCAACTCCATTAAATCTCCTAGATGTCGATCCTTCCTATCTTTCACCAATAACAGCTATAAAATAATCTCATGACTTTCTTCACAGGGCAGAGGTATCCACACCAATTGCCATCTGAATAGTTTATTTCTCTTTAGAGCTCAATCTCCATATCACGCACACAGGTGCCAATTCAAATCAAGATTAATATCCCATCTCGTTTCATATCACGCACTCAAGCGTTGGTTTAAATCCAGGATCAATATTTCATGTTCAACTATTCAGATAATTTCTACAAGAGATTGACATATACTTATACTAATGCTTTCAAGCACATCCACTAAGGGTCCTTAACTTACTAGCCTTGTCTCTTTCTTTAAATTTCCAAATTTATCCACCTAATTAGTTCACTACTCATGATTGAAAAGATGTTATATTTTCGCAAACAGTTGCTTTCCTTGATTCAATTATTAAGGTTTGATTACGAATTTTAGATCCAAGGCAAGCAAGTGACTAGACTTAATAGTGTGGTCATACTTACATGTCAATTCTCTCTAAGTGTTCTCATTAACGCATACACACCCCTTCAGGGTCTCATAATCACAGTGGGAGCCTCAATCCACCTGCCTATGCATCTTTACATGCTTTCAACCAGCTACAGGTCATCAATTCACATGTGCTAAACCAAACTTTAAAATCATGCAATCATCATATCCATATTGAAATGTCACAATGTGTGCAAGACTTATGCATATACAAATAATAGCATATTCAAAATCACAATGCCTCAATCATCTCTAGTAAAGGTGAATTTTATTCTCATAGGCGTTCTACATTAGGTTTGTCTAAGTTTCCTTATGGTAGTTCATTCAATCTTTTCATCAAACATTTTGCTATATACAAGAACTTTAGATTTTTTTATTTTATTTTCTAAAACTACGGGTATAGTTAATGTGACTAGTATTTTATCAAACATAACCTAAGTCATTTTGTTCCTATTCTATACCACATTCAATTAAATTTTCTAAAAGGTTAAATACCTAAATCGAGGCTTCATTTTCTCTTTCCTTTTTCATCCATTATTGGAGTATCTATTAAACTTGTCCAATTTCTTGTTTATTGCTTATTTTAACTAAAATTATAGATTAGGATGATTAAACTTAGCATTACTTACAGTTATAGGATTTGCCAATTTATTGGATTTTCTAAGCAATAGTCTGATTAGGATTCATATCCTTTTCTAAATTATCAAGAATCAAGTGTCTAAGTGTTTCTATCTTGCATAGTCTGGTTTGATTTTACTAGGTGATAGAATATACATGTTAATTTATAACTTAGTTCATTCAACTAGTTTTGATGTATTTAGTGTTATGTTGTAGGGGAAAATTTTCATTCTCCTTGGTATTTATCAAGTTTAGGAGTCTAAAACTTCTCATAAAAATTTTACTTAACTTAGCATTTAACCACACAATTTCACACATATATGTGCACTATAGTAACACAAGTAAATATATCAATCTCAATATCAAGTACATGTCTATAAACTCAAAAGATTAAGGAATTCTCAAGAGCTTTCAATCACACACAACATTGATAATTTCATCAAGTGTATTCTTGTCTATTCCCTCAACTCCTAACTTGAGTCATATGAAAGTTTTCCCCCCTCACCTTCAAGAGTAACTCAGTTTAGTGAGGAAAGATGCTCCACTTCTAGCCTTGTTTGGGTTGTGCTCGCGTTTTTCTCAACGGGATTGATACTCGTCCTTTTCGAGCAGTTCTTGCTATTGGGATTATAACTTAGGCATTTAGAATGTGAATGAAGCGTTCGAGGTACCGACACATTTCTCATTCAAGGAAACAAACACAAAGCTCATTATAGGAGGTTTTAAACTAAGTCAAATAAATTTTTGTTAGCTAAAAAAAGTATCGATACAACAAGGTGCTTAGTTCTGAACAACTAGAATTTTAAGTTTTGGTACACTTACCAATTGGAGGGTAATTGAGTGGTATGGTGTCCAAATCGAGCTCAAGATAGCTCTTTGGAAAGGTAAAACTGTGACGATTTAGATAATGAATTGCTGACTTATCCTCGTTCTTTGGGAAAGCAAATGGAATTCAATTCAAACTTAGGATAGCTTGTGAGAAAGCTTATATAACCTAGAATATAGGAACATAGTTAGGAAACATTTTTCATATGCATATTTTTCCAGAAATTGAGAGAAAGTTGTCATCGCATGCAATTTTAGAAAAATATTTTTTGCATAATTCCGCATTAGGTAGATTGAGGGTTTTGCACTAAAAATAGGGGAAATGACCTCTAAATTAAGTTTCGCAAAAGGGGTTTGAAAACTAACATCCTAAGGATTATGGAGATGTTCTTAAAATAATTTTCTATGTATGCAGGTGGTACAAAATAACAATTTTACAGAGATGTGTTTTTGTTGTCATGGATTGTTTTAGCAAATTTAAGATACTTAATTCTTGTATGTCATTGAAAGATCAAATGGACTTAAAATTGTGTACAAGATGACTTTATGGAAAGGTTATGTCATAAGGAACACAAGTATGTGAATGCATGCCAATAAAATTAGATACAAGTGGTTCAAAAAGAAGAATTTTGTTGCTATTAGCAGAGAAAACGTAATTATGAGACAGCTTCATTAAAAATTGCATATCTCATTAATTTGTGATCCAAACCAAGTCCCATCAATTTTGTTTGAAAGCTAAGACATTGATGTTTATGAAAATATGATCATTCAAATTTTTGGAAATACAGATTGGTTCACATTAATGCAGAGTGTGTTTGCTGATTTTCAAAATGAGACCTCTGTTTGTCCTGACATTTTGACTTAGCAAATGAGATTGAAAATTAGCTTAAGATAGCTTGTTGGAAAGATCTAAAGTTGGATGAAGAGGGATTTAAAAATTTATTCTTTTCACTATTTTCATAAATTTTTCAAAATCGGATATAGCATGGTAAAAATAGTTTTTCTCCTTGATCTTTGCTCCAAATCTTACTCCGAAAGTGGCTATGGAAAGCTAATGAAGTGTAATATGTGAAGGAATAAGGTCAAGTTAAAAACAAGGAGGTTTAGCAAGTGAAATATGTAGAATAGATTACATGCAAGGTGTAAAACGCATGCTTACTCTATGAAGCTTTGAACTCTGCATATGTCTCACCATTTTGCGCATATCTTGATCAATTGGAGTCCAATTGACGAGTTGCAAAGTGCGTTGGAAAGTTGAGACAATAGAAAACAAGATGGAGGTTTACATGTCAGTTTCTTTGCATGAAATTTTCCCAGAAATTTAAGAACTTGACTGTTGGAGCAGTAGAATTCAGATTGGGTCATACTTATGAGATCAGGTCGTTGAGTGGTGAAACCGAATCAAGCTTGAGATAATGTGTTGGAAAGATATCTTCTTGTAATTTATGAAAATAAAAATTTAAGATTAAAAGAGATCAATATAGAGGACGTAAAAATTAGTTATTTACAATGTTTTTACAGAAAAACGTAAAAGTGAATGTACTCACGTACTCTAGGCAATTGAGGGGATAAATGATATCAGATTAGGACTTATGATATACCATTGGAAAATTATTTCTTCAAGGAACAAAGAGGAAGATTTGCACGTCAAATTTGGAGACTGTAGAAATTAAAAAGTAGTCTTCTTCACTGCTAAAATGCAGAAAATGTAGAACAAGAAAGCAATCTCACTGATTTCACTATAACTTGTGAATCCGATGTCCATTTTGAGTGAAACTACTTGCGTTTGAAAGCTTTTCCACTGTACAATTCAAATATGCAATTATTGGGTGCAGAAAAACAAGTTTAGAGGGCCAAAAATGTCTCACACAATGGATGCAATGAGGGAGGTTTCAAGCCTTTTCATGGAGGAGGTGCAAGAACCTTGACTTGTGCATGGAAGGGGAAGTGCTTAAGGCTTTGGCAGTGAAGGGTGGTGGTTTACAATCCAAAGGTCACCAGAAAATGAAGAGAAATGGTGGAGAGAAGAGAGAATCGAGAGAGAGCTTACACGATGAGGGAGAAAGGTGTCTCACCAAATGCCATATTCTTTCCTTTTTTTAGCACATGACATTCCCTCCTTCAACACATGCAAAGGCACACATGGCAATACGCATGCAAGGGCTTTTTCTTTCTTTGACACGTGGCTCACACATGGCATCACATATGCAAAGGCTTCTTCCTTCTAAAAAACCTTGTTGAAGCAAAATTTACCTTGCTGAGGTTTGAACTTAGAGACTTCCAACTTCAAACTAAGGACTAACCTTTCTACTACTGTACCACCTTTGCTAGTGCGTATAACATTTGCAACTCAAATATAATTATGAGATTTCTAAATAATGCAAAACATTGAGATCCATAAAAAAATAAACACATACCAATGAATTATTTGAACGAAATAAGATAACTACTTTTATCTCAAAACTTATTTAAATAAAATCATAAAATTTCGTAAAATACATTGAATTATATTTGAGAAAAAAAAAGAGAAATCACATTAAACATGTAAACATGGAAGGAAGCAAAAATGAGGATGTTACATTGCTTGCGGTGGTATGATTTGAGACCGTTAGGGCAAGTTTCCTAAGCATGTTGCGTGAGGTTTTATTTGTGTTGAATGCTAGCCTCTCTAAATAGTAAAAATAAAAAATAAAACAAAATAAAATGACTTTCTTATAATTAAAAGTAAAAATAAAATATAATTTTTGAAATCAAATAATTCTATAAAAAAAGAACATTTTAAATGATGTGTTATATTTTAATAACAAAAAAAATCGGAAATAAAAATAGGCAATTCTAATGTACTCATATTCGTGGGACATGCTGTCATAATGTTATCATGGTATATATATATATATAGACAAGAAACTCTGTTTATCAAATCTCCTTTTCCCTTAAACTAAATTAATAGCCGTTTTACACGTCACAAAAGAGTAACAACCAAATGAAAAAGTAATGCCAAAATTACATTGACTGCCATCAATATAACACTTGTTTGTAGTGTATGAGCAGAGTTTGGCAACATGGGGTATGAATCAGGAGGTGGCAGCATGCATTCATCACCGTTGAAGTAGACCCTTCTAGGGAATGCCCATCCCTGTTTGAGGGTAAACGTGTTCTTATCCTTCTTCATGAGCACCTCAGATTGAACATTCCCTCTAGGCCCTGCTTCCATCAACAGATCATTGTAATATTTCAAACCATAGAACATACCAGTATCATCTGCATATACAAATCAGCAAGCACATGGTCAGAAAGAAAACAACATCTTCATGAAGCTCTAACATAGAAAAGATTCAACACTTTTTGTCTATTTATAAGAACTCACTTATGGATTCATACGGAAGAAGTGGCATATATTCAAAGCTATAGACTTGGGTGACATTATTGAGATTTGGGTGTTGCACCACAAGAGTCCATTCAGTGAAATTCAACCGATAGTTGAAGTTGATGATGGCAATCTTGACCCGCCAATAGTCCTTATAGTTGTCTTTCAAATGCCAGTGCACCCGGACACGACATAGATGGTGTGTGCATTGTAACAATGGTTTTGGTGTGGTATCTTTTTTATGTTTTGGTAAGACATCATCTTCTTGCAGTAACTTTGAATCCTTCCTGCACAACCATCATAAGATATTGAAATTATCATTACTGTTAATGTAGCACACATATAACACGTCGTGACTCTACTAATTAGCACGAGTACAGATTAGACCCAATTTAAGTAACTTTTTCAATAAATACTTTAAGAAAAAATATTAAAAAACAAAATTAAATAATTAAACTTCTACATGTTAAAATCAACTGGTGCATTTCATGTATGTCTTTCAAAATGTAGATTTTAATTCGTAGGACTAGTTTAATTCATTTTCTCTTTCTATTTTTTTCTCCTATCTAAATTCCCCAATGTAAAACTAGAAGGGTGGCTTACGTGACGCAGGTATCGTTATTTTGACAACCACAAGCACAAGCTGGGCAACCCGTGACTTTGTCACTGTAGAAAGATGACAGAGAAACACAACAGCTTGGGTTCTTGGAGGCAAGAAACTGTGAATAAGTGCATGTCACATTCCAGGACACTGCATAGAAAACCATAAAATAGAAACGTTAAACACAACTAATGCATCTTGTAACCATAAATATTAACACTGCTCCATGCACATAAAATGAATGAAGGGAATTAGTATGCATACTCAAAGCTTGAGTTTTTCGCCTATGATCATCTGTGGGGATGACAGTGGATGGAACAATCTTGGCAGGGCCACATGAATATCCTGGTCCTGGTCCCAACAATTTGAAGTTCTTGGGCAGTTTCACAGTCTTGTTAGAGGTGCCAGAGAGGCCCACACCAATCTGAAATGCTGAGACTGCACCTGAAGGGTCCTGCCCCCAAGATGTTAGCACACCACCCCTGCAGCAGTTGGTAAACTGCATGTTGAAAGGAGCTCCAGGAAGCAAATCAACCACTTGAGGGTTCCTCTTGCAGCTATGGGGAATCTTCAACTTGAACTTGGCACAGTCTCCTTGTTCTGTGGCTTGAGCTCCCATCATGGCCCATATTATTTCTTTCTTTGCCCATGTCCATCCTATAGTCCACCCAGGATTCATAATATTCCGGTACAGTTGGAAGTTAAACAGTGTCACAGTGGCCTGTCAAATTTTAATATAGTAACATATTCATCAGTTTGAGTATAATTTGATCATTGTTTAGGTGAAAATCATGTTCCAAATTTCTGCTGGTTTATCCCTTTGGTAATCACACAAGGCCAGCAATTTCTATTTTCTAGAGACCTTATGATATTTTCATATTTCATAATTTCACATTGCTACAATCATGAATTATCCATATAAGTTCTGATAAAATGATTAGAATTAGAAGTTACCAAATAACCATCTGATGTCCAGGACACGATATCCCATCTTATTGTCACGTTCCCAGTTGGATCCAATGGATCAAATGACTCTACAAGCACAAGATAACAAGTTCAAATAAATCCATGAGAAACTAAATTTTATTCTCATCAGTAGTTTCCAACATTTTGCATATAGACAAGTAATTTACCAGCAGGAGAGATAAGAATGAGACATAGAGCAACAACGGCAACAAGCTTCAGCTCTCTGAAAGTGGAGCTTTTCCTTTGCTGCTGTTTACCATTATCAAATTCCATGCCTGAGGATGAAGTTCACAGAACCCCTAGTTCTTGTGTGGTACACAAATTGCAAGTGAGCAAATTGCTAGTGTGTTTATAGCAACATGTGCTGCACTGTTATTAGATTTTAGAGTATGTTATCACCTAGTAGTTGTTAGGTCCTTGTGATATCATCTTATGAAATATTCTGTCTCCATCTCTCTAATCAGTCCCTGCTCAGTTGCAGCTAGCACTCCTACAACATCTAAGTGTTTAAACAAAAACGTAGGGAATGGAGTGAAGAAATTCGGGTGCCTATGATGCATGAATACGGGTACTCTACTTGTACCCATAAATACAGGAATATGACAATTTTAAAAATTTTGATACAGGTATGTTAATATAGTTTTTAAATAATACAAATGAAGAATATAAAATATTTATAATTGTTATAAGAATATCTATAATAAAAGAAATTAGTAAACGCGCATCTTAGATTTACATTTAAGGATGGTGGATTTAATTAAATAGAAAAATAAATATATAAAAATAGAGAAAAACAGAGAAAAGATATCCAAATCATTGTCATTTTTAGGGAAAAAATAATTTGACTTGTATTTAAGACATACCTAACTCTACCTCAAGCTGCACATAACAAATTGCATAGAATTTTTACTAAAAAAAATAATTTTAATAGGTATCCAAATGTAATTATATTCGAGGTATTTGGTACTAATGGGATATGAGTACATTTGTGAAATTGAAGTACCCATGCGAGCTGGTGAGAGATTTTCTGTGTGCCTCAGGGACACATCAGGGGGTAACCAGTTTTCCACTTGTTCAGTTTTCACTTACTTTTCGTTCATGGAACTATTTGCTTCAAATTGATTGATGCTTATGCTTTATGGCTAGGGACCCTTTTAGCCTTGGTTTGTTCTGTTATCTGATTAGTTAGCCCTGAAAAATAGTTGTGTATCTGGATTTGGTTTTTCCACCTGGGGTTTATGCATCCACATCCATGAATATAATTATTTACCTTACAGAGCAAATAGCGAAATCATCTGTTATCACCATTATAAAATATGGCCTGAGATTCATGAACTTCGGGAGCAATATGGTATAGAGTTACCATCTTGGAGTTGATTGACAACAAATGTAATGCTTCCCAACCCAACAAGAACCTAAAACTGGTAGTACAACGGTGCAACAATACATTTAAAATGATTCCCTAAACAAATGCAATGTTGCTAGCGAGGTCTCAATTCAAGTTATTGGACCATTTTGGACAAGAAAAATAATTATTGGGCCTTGGTCTTCAAACCCGATTGACCTTAATAATCAATTTTGTTAATATAAAAAATAAAAGATATCATTTATCTTTACCATTTGTAGTTAAATAAAAGTATATCAAATTTTAAAATCTATTTAAAAATAAAAATTGCAATTAAATAAATAATGTTATCTTAAATCGCAATGCTAAGACAAATTACACATAAAAATAATAAAATATCTTTTTGGAAGTTTTTTCTAACTAAAAGACAGAAATTAATCTAAAATTAAGAAACAACATTAACATGTATAAATATATTAAAGATAAATTAATTTTTGGAAAATAAATTTATAAGAATAAACAAATTTTATACCTCCCACTCATCTCACCATTTATTCTAATGATTTCTAGTAAAATTTGGTTAGGGTGATATAGCAAGTCAGCCGCCGCCGCCGCCCCCCCCAAAAAACAATCTCTCTCTCTCCCAAACACGGGTTAGTTGCCTCGCTTGTTCTTTCACACAAAAGTAAGCTTAAATTAAAAAAATCAATCAAATATTAAAAATGTTTAAATAATGTTTTTATATTAATAAAAATTAATATTTAACTAATAATTAATTATAGTTTATTTTTAAAAAATTTTGAAATTTTACCAGCTTTTTGTAAGTTACTTCAGATTTCAAACGGTTTTAACATTTGGAGCCCAAAAGAGGGTTTAACTAATTTAAATCTTAACTCTGTCAAATATCTTTTATCGACGCTATTTTTCAACCAACTTACACGTTTATTATAATAAACACTTACACAACATTAATTTAATATTTTAAAATTGTGATTAAACAAAGTATTTAAAGATTTAAATTAATTATTTTTGTACTGGTTACTATTTATAGGAAAAAAACATTATTTAAAGTAAAGGATAAATAATAATTCTATTTTATATTTTACAATATATTACTGTTTAAACAAAATATTTATAATCATTTCATAGTTTTAAATTTTTTTAAATATATTAATTTTTTATTTTAAATATTTATAATATTAATTTATTTTTATTTATTGTTTTTATCACTATTATACTATTACTTTTATTATATTTATTTTCTTTATATGAATATTACAATGTTGTTCTATGACTTTTTTACGTAAATAAAGAAAATAAATTAGAATATTACATAGGTATCTTTAATAGTTTCAATTTACTTATTTATATTTATATGTTGTTTTTTGAAAAACAATTATAATATTACTTATTTTACTATTATGATATATATACATCATACATAAAATAATATTTTATATTTATTCAAGTCTTTATCCCGTGAAACAAATCTTTATTATTGTTGTTTTGTTTAAATTTAACCAATAATCAAAAGATATTTCCTAGAATGGATCAAGGACCAACTTACGTTGTTTAAGTATTTGTTATTTATGATTTGGGTCAATGAGTTTTGTAATTTTAGGCTGCTAGATAAGGTTATTAGTACCACAAGTTTTTATGGCCATTTAACCGTTATTTGCAAGGAATATTCACGCTGCTTGTATTCCTAATACATCATAACGATGACTTGGAATTTTGTTAGAACTTAGAAGTAGGTAAAGTACGTACGCACAAAAAATATCATTACACTACAGTAGTTGGTTTCTCCTATGCAATATTGACATTGTGAATGACGTACGTTTCACAACGAATGCTTCTCAGAACTATAATTTATTAGAGCGTTTTCTATGGGATTTTCTTCCATAAAAAAAAAATAACTTTGTTCGTAAGTTTTTAAGCGACAAATTGTTCCATTTTTTATTTCCATAAATTTATTGAAATACATCACATTTGGACTGTTATGACCATATTGAGCATTTAATTTAATCTAACCTTTCCCCTAACTAAATTCCGTAATTTCTAACTACAAAAATGTAAATCACTTTGCAGTTTATCTTATCCATTCATACATTGTTTGTGAACTAAAATGCAGTGCTCATCTTGTGGTGATATGACCAAATCCAGCGCTTGTTTCTGTTTAAGTGCTTGTTTTTTTTATGATTTCCTAGCATTAATACCGCTTCCTACACTTATAATATCTTTTCATGAAAAATAAACTTTCTTCAATTCATTAGATTTTTCAAATCGACAAATTGCAAAACTTTTATTGAATAACTTTTCTACTTTCGTTTCTCTCACAACAATGACATTTTCTCTTTGAAAATTTGTGTCGTTAAAGTCCTAATTTCATGTTGAGGTTTACCTCCGAACATTAGCTAAACTGTTGTATAAAACTTTTTCATTAAGACATTGAAAAGGAATAAAATTAAAGGTATTTAATAGTTATACTATTTAATTATTTTTATAAAATATAAAATTAAGTATTGATTTAAAAAAATTTATAAATAAATTAACTTTATAAAATTTTATATTTAAAAATAAAATTAATAAGTACTTTATCGTATTAATTTATTTTAATATATAAAATATTTTAAAATATAAATAAATATTAAATTTAAAATAACATACTTACGAATATTTATATTAATAAAAATTTGATATACATAATCATCACTTTAAAAAAATTATCCTGTCAAAATCTGTCTCGACAGCCATAATTTCATAAACATTTCCAAACATATGCTAAAATGATATTTATTTTTTACTAAAATTTTAAAAATTATTTATTTCATGTTTCATTTAATTAAAATTAAAAATTTTTCAAAATATTTATTTGATTTAAAGAATTTTGAATTATACTTATAATTAATTCTATAATGCATTATTCTTTTTAAAATAATTTTAAAAATTAATGAGTTTTGTATAAATAATAATAAACCTTGCGAAAAACTCTCTACTAACATAATGCATTCAAACCCCAAATCTTTTTTTTTAATATTTTTCTTGTGAGTAATTGAATGCAGTCAAAAGCAATAAGTAGTAATAAACAACTAACCATTTATGAAATGAAATTGTAAAGCTCTCATTTTTATCTCACACGTGGATCTATGATGGCACGTGCCAAGTATGACGCGTTTCAAATACAAAAACCCCCCTTCACTCCAACACAAGCACACAGCACCGTCCTCGTACTCCCCGAAGCTACAAGGCAGCAACAACAAAGTTGTCTCTCTCTCTCTCTGAAGGAAGCATGTCGAGCGCAACAGGAGCAACAGCCCTTCTGAAGGACGAGGTGGACATAGTGATCCCAACAATAAGGAGCCTTGAGTTCTTGGAGTCGTGGAGGCCATTCTTTGAGCCATACCATCTGATAATTGTGCAAGATGGTGACCCTTCCAAAGTCATCAAGGTCCCCCAAGGCTTCGATTACGACTACTACAATCACGACGATATTAAGCGCATTCTTGGACCTAAGGCCTCTTGCATTTCCTTCAAGGACTCTGCTTGTCGCTGCTTTGCTTTCCTCATCTCCAAGAAGAAGTACATCTTCACCATCGACGATGATTGCTTTGTAAGTCACGTCAATTCCCCATTATCTCTTTTTTAATATACATATCAAATACCCTTGCAAAAAACAAAACATAAAAATAAATTTGACATCAGCTAAGTCTGTCTTTCATTTTTCGTGGTAACATATATTCCTTCGTAGCATAGCTGCTAGCCTGCCACTACTTAAATTTGCAATATATATAGTGATGCATCTGGAGAAGGGGTTAGATCCCGGTTATAAGATGAGATTTCCTTTATTTTCTTTTCTTTATTAATTTTTCAGGTTGCAAAAGATCCATCTGGCAAAGAAATTGATGCCCTGCACCAGCACCTTAAGAACCTTCTGACTCCATCAACCCCATTTTTCTTCAACACCCTCTATGACCCATACAGAGAGAGTACTGATTTTGTCCGTGGATATCCATTTAGTCTGCGTGAAGGTGTCCCAACAGCTGTTTCTCATGGCCTCTGGCTCAATATTCCTGATTATGATGCCCCAACCCAGCTTGTCAAGCCTCTCGAAAGAAACACTAGGTATGAAAATGTTATAGAATATATGTAAACGTCAGTGTTTTAATCTGATTATATATACAAGTTTCGCTTTAATTGTTGACTTAACTATATGACTTTTATTTTAATTCTTTTTTATACAAAACGACATTGAAAAAAGGGAGAAAGGATATAAAATGAGTGTTTTTAAAAAATAAAAGTTAAAGTGAGACTTTTGTATTATGAGGGACTATATGATCTATACTTACAATTATAACCACTAAAATAAGTATTTATATCATTTACATTTGCATCATGTCTTGTTGAGGTAGCTTACTGATATAGCATGTCTGGAACCTTTTTCTCAGGTATGTAGATGCTGTTATGACGATACCAAAGGGAACTCTCTTTCCCATGTGTGCCATGAATTTGGCATTCAACCGTGAATTAATTGGCCCTGCAATGTACTTTGGACTCATGGGTGAAGGTCAACCTATTGGACGCTATGATGATATGTGGGCTGGCTGGTGCATAAAGGTACTCTATTCCAAATTTGTATTAAATTTGGTTTTGTTAACATCAGAATACAAAAGTTTTCATTCTATAAAAGAAGCATTTATTATATCGAAGACATGTTTGTGCTTAATTGCTGATCTTGTTTGTAGGTTGTAAGTGATCATTTGGGATTGGGGGTGAAGACAGGCTTGCCTTACATTTGGCACAGCAAAGCTAGCAGCCCATTTGTGAACCTTATGAAAGAGTACAAAGGAATTTTCTGGCAGGAAGAGCTGATCCCCTTTTTCCAATCTGTAAGTCTTCCAAAGGAATGCACAACTGCTCAGGATTGCTATCTTGAACTCTCCAAGCAAGTTAAGGCAAAGCTTGGCAAAGTTGATGAGTATTTCGACAAGCTTGCAGATGCCATGGTGACATGGATTGAAGCTTGGAACGAGCACAACCCATCAGGGGAAAAATCCAATGCTCCCGCAAATTAAATTCTTCATATATGGGGCCTCTAGATAAAAGTCACTCATTGGGCAGGGAAGAGGATATGGCTTTCGTGTTATCATTTTACCGTTTGTTTTTTCGTACAACAATAAAACTTGACTGGCTCTTAAACATTAATATATACACAAATATACATTTTAATATATTTTCTTCACTTTGGAATTTAGCTTATTATTAGACTTATATTGACCATCTTCTCATTGTGACAAAATATGACAAATGACAATTAAATGTCATAATTAAGATTAGAGGTAAGAAATTACTCATACAAGTAGAGGTTAATGAGTTCATAACTCAATATTTTTTTTTTATAAGAAAAGACCAACCAAAAAATAAAATATAAATAGAAATTCTTCACCTTTTTAGTTACAACATGTATTATGTTTTAATGAAAAAATAGTTATTATAAGGTGGTTAGGAGCATAAGCTTCTCTAGTTAGTAATTGGATGGGTTAAACTTATTTGTTATGATTTAGTCTAATAACAATAACTATAAAATCATATTCAATAAAAATAAAATTATTACAAATAAGCTTAATAACAAAAATTAATCAGAATATGGCATAAATAACATGATTTAATATTTTGGGATCAATTAATCTAGAATCAAATTAAAAGTATCACAAAATATCTAACATTAATCACAAAAATGATTTATGTCAGTCCACACATAAAATATCTAACATTCTTTCACTTGAACATCATAAATCAAAGCATCATATTATTCTAGATTAATTAACAACATGTAGTAATAACAAGATGAAAAAAATAAGCCAACATGAGCTATGAGCATCTTAAGAATGCAAAAAATCATACCCAAAAGAGTAATGATATCATACATTATAAAACATCTATATATCCTATTTTTTTTATCAACAATAATATTTATTTAATTAATAAGGTACCAGTGGTACCGATAAATTACAAAAACATATCAAAAGAGCAGAATTTTGTTATGTTTAGAACTTTGATAAACCAATGGCTATTAGCAACTAAACAAATAAGCTTAAATGACCCTATTAAGTTATGAGGACCCCACAACATTAGCCTCAATTAGTATGTTCTCCAATTTCACTAATATTATATTTCATAGTCGAACATTTACTTGGATATTTTTGCCAAAATTGGAAGTTGTAAGAACACTTTGTTCCCTTAACAAAATTCCATTCCCAAGCCAATTGGATGATTGTGCTTGAAAAATTCTTTCATTTCGTTCCTGCCATTGTAACACCCTCATTTTTATTTCCTTGCTTTTGAAAAAAATAAAATTCCTGGTGCAGAGTTTCTCGCTCAAGCAAGATAGATATTTCTGAACTGGGCTTTCTGGAGCATTCTCGCTCAAGCGAGCTAAGTCTCACTCCAGTGAGATAAGATAAAGTTGTCCCAACTGTTCTCTTGTCTAGGTGAGAAGGGATCTCGGTTATGTAACACCCTATTGTATTCAATTTATGCTTAAGTCATAAATGCTAAATCTAGTAGTTGCATTACAATATTAAAAATAAATTCGTTTATTCCATTACATTTTAATGTGATTAATTCATTTCACACTAATTTAGTAGTAATCGTCAAATGTGTAAAAGAGCGAGACCTTATAAAAATAAAAATAAAAGCAAATTGAATATGGAATAACCTGGATAAATGTAATAATTAATTTAACTCATACATGTTACAGAGAGATAACTATATATATATATATATATATATATATATATATATATATATATATATTACACCATCTTATTTTCATACAATCAGAAATACATATGAGGATCACTACATACAAAAAGATCGGTGGCCTATATCTTTAAAATGCAATCCTAACGAGTCCTCACAGGACAATTTAGAATTGAGGACAGTGTCCTACAAGTACTATCATGGCCCACTAAACTATCCTACCAAAAGAAGGCCACTTTGTACAAAGTCAGCTACTTCACTAACTACTTAGACGAAAAGCCATTGGCCATTGCAGGGCCAATAGGAGTATAGTCATCAGGTCCAAGGAAGGATGATGATGAGTCTGTAGTTTCTGATGGGTTACTCTCGAATTTGAGCGAATCTCGGGGATAACCCACCACTATGCTAGAAATGATATTTTAGAGCGGTTACGGTTGAACATAGAGAGCGGTTATAAGTGCTATAAAATTTCACGATATGCAATGTCTTGAATTTTAGAGAGCAGTTATTTAACCGCTCTCAAATGTATATTTTGAAAAATGGTTACGCGCATATCCATTCTCAGAAGTGCACTAAAGAGAGCGGTTAACTGCATATCCGCTTTTATATATAACACTTTGGAGAGCGGTTATGAGTGAACCGCTCTCAAAAGCTGGACCAAAGAGAGCGGTTCACAGCTAACCGTTTTCTAATCTTGAACTTATAAAAATGGTTCTTTTATAACCGCTCTAAAAGTTCACTTTTGAGAGCGATTCACTCATAACTGCTCTCTTAAGTGTACTTTTGAGAGCGGTTATTTGATGAACCGCTCTTAGAAGTGGACTTTGCAAAGCGGTTGTTCATGAAATGCTCTCCGAAGTTAAGGAAATTTTTTTAATTATTTTAATAAAATTGTCATTATTTCAATTTTTAGCATACCTGATAAAGCATATAGTATTCAAAACCAGTTCAACCAGAATATAAATTACAAACAGCGCCATATACAAGAATTTCAAAGCAATTGCACATTACATTATTCAATTATAATTCACATGTACAGATTACAATCAGAGTTTACATTGACAAGAAGAAAATAATCTGATATTTACACTTTTTGCCTAATGCCTTGAAAGAAAATTGTCTAAGTATTGTTAAAAAAAAATACTACAAATCTATTGTGCTTAATGTGTTCTTTAAATATTTATGGCACAAATATGCATATAACTCTTTTTGCACTTGATGAATTCTGTTGTTAGGAAAAGTTAGCATCTGTAACTCTTGAAAATATTGAATACAAAACAATAAAACACAAAGCTTAATTAATTAAGTTAAATAATACGCAAATGGTAGACAATTAGCATATGTAAGGGTCTTACATTAACTGGGATTACAATTTGTCCATGGTGCAAAACATCCTCAATGAATAGACACACATAACATCCACAATCATCATTATTTGTTTGCTTTAGACACTATGTGGAAGATAAAAACAAATAAACCAGCATTAACACAAAGAGATATACAGTCCAATTAATATTAACCTAAAAATTAAAAACACATTGTATGATATAGTGTTACCTGTACAGTGAGTGATCCATCTTGTTTGATGCATCTTTGTCCTAGAGGGCTACACTTCTCTCTTTGCTCGATACGTGACAAGAGCACTGACAATGGTGCATGAAAGAACTTAGATACATTTGAACCACTTAACATTAATCATAGTTGTTTGACATAAATGAATGCTTACTTATTAAATAAGTTCTGCATATTCTTGTGACAATGCTCTAGTCTTATGTAATCTATTTTTTCCTTACATATTGGACATGCACATTGACCTTTGATGTTGTAACTAGAAAGATTTCCATATACAAGAAAATCATTAATTGTTCCACACAACATTGCCTTGACCATGAAAAATTCATCTCTAAACCTGTCATATACTTCTATACCAATATTCCACAACAACTTCAAATCTTCAATTAAAGGAGACAAGTACACATCAATGTCATTTTCAGGTTGTTTAGGACCAAAGATTAACAAAGAAAACATCATATATTTCCTCTTCATGCAAAGTTATACATTATTAAAATCACAAGCCATGTACTATAGGTGCTACTTTGCATGTCGTACGGATTCATTCCATCAGTTGCTAATGCAAAACGTATATTTCTTGTTTCAGTTGAAAACTCTTCATATTTGTCATCAAATTTTTACTACTGTGGAGAATCTGTTGGATGCCTAAGCTTTTCATCTCTAATTCTGCCTTCAGCATATCAAGTCATCTGATTTGCATTTTCTACACTGTGAAATAAGCATCTTAATCTGGGTATTACTGGAAAATACCACACAACCTTCACAGGTATTGATTCTTTCTTTACGTATCGTGATACATTACACTTTGGATATTGACTTAGTGATGCATACTTATTTTGGAACAAAATGCAATCATTAGGACAAGCATGTATCTTTTCATAGGTTAATCCAATAGAAGCAAGTACTTATTTAGCATCGTATGTTCTCTTTGATAGCACATTATCCTCTAGTAGCATCTCATATAATAAACTTAGCAAGTCTGTGAAGCTCTTATCAGTCCATCCATTCCACGCTTTTAAGATATAAAGCTTTAAAACAGAACTCAATCTTGTGAACTTTGTGCATCCATTATACAATGGTGTTTTTGCATCATCTTTCAGCCTCTTAAACATCTTTGGACAATCTCTAAAATCTTCTTTAACAACATTTGAAATTTGTTTAGCATGATCACTCTTATTTGTTCTAAATGTCTCTAAGTAATTGACACTCGATTCCATGTTAGTTGATGTACTTCCACCTTGTATCTCACTGTGCTTTGTCCAATAAGTATATTTCTTATCTATCCATTGCACATTAGATGTTCTTCCAATTCTTCCTTATTTACTTGTAACATATTCAAACAACACTAACAAGGACAGGGAATAAGGTTGACATCAGTTGCATGCTTAATCGCAAATCTAATAAACTCTTTGACTCTGTCTTCGTATTCTTTACTTAAACAATCAGCTACCATCCAACTTTGATCCATATTTGCTCTAACTACGGTTACGATAATTACAAATGTGAATGTCTTATTAACTCTCACATGGTAGGGCCTTATCCCATTTGAGAACAAACTTTTTTATACCTTAATTAACAATTGTTACTTAAATGTTGTATTTTTTACTTGACAAAATTTGGGCAGTATTTTGCATTAGTCTCCTAGTACACAACTTGAATATGAGATGATTTACCTCAATCAAGCATGCACCAAGAGATAATGAGAAATGCTCCAAACTAAAATTTTGTCAAGTATTAAATA